ACTAAAAGGTTTTGAATAAATCAGTTCTTTAGGAGTTGATTAAGCCACTGGTAATGGGTTGACTGTATCATTACAAATAACACAGCACACCTGTAAAAGGGATCATTGCTGCTTTGGGTAGATACACAGATATCTAATATATCTGAAGGGACATCAAAATGTTGTCATTGTAGATATCAGTATCTTACCAAAAAGGTATTAGTTTTATGTAAGATTTTACAGTATTATTTCATGCACAGACATCCAAGAGTACACTCCAGCTCAAAACAAAACCGCTCTACTGCGCTGTTTCCGAGGAAACTTAGCTAGTTCATTTGTTTGTTCTTTCTTTTCCCCTCTTTTGTTAAATTGATGTTAACAGTTTGTTGGCACATTGGGCCTGATTCACTGTTGCCCTGCACTTTGTGTCCTCGGTAATACCAGAATACAGGAATGTGTGATGTTCTAATTTGGTAGCATCCATTTTGCATTGGTGTTAGCAACAAGTACAAAGCAGCACAGAATCAGGGCCACTGTCTGCAGTTGACTATTCCTGGGACTATAATCAGGACTAGACTTTCAACATTCATAGTCATAGCAATTACTTGATCTAAATTCCTATTAAAATTAAAGACCTTTTATCCATTTGATAAAACAAACTCTGAACAAGAGAAGGGATGATGCTATAAAAGGAAATTTTGCCTGTGTGGTTTGAAATAGAGGAGCTGGTAGTAGAATATGTTTTGAGAACATTAGAATATGACTAATATGATTTGTATGGGAGAAGCAACAAGCAAAAGTTAATGCAGTTTTTATCTATCTATATGATAATGGGCAATTAATGTCAGTTGTGCTATTCTTTTAAATCAGGTTTTTAGATTGTTTATTTAAGGAAGAAAAGAAAAGAAAGTGACATCGAGCAGCAAAATACTATTTCAGTCTAAATATCTAGTTAAATAAATCATTTCTTATTTCAGTACCCAACAAAGTTATTAAATTCAAAGATGAGGCTTGCCTATGCTTTAGAATTTATAATTGTGAAAAAAACGCACGTGCAAGACTGTGTGCTTGCATTTGCATTAATGAATAAACAGAACAGCAGAATTAGGTTCAGAACACTTTTGTCAGCATCATGTTGCTGTCATTTAAATTGTCATGCAATTTTTTCACTGAATTCATAGTGCTCGGGATTAAAAAAACATAAACAGGAGATATCTGAAGTATTCTTTATTTCTGTTGTTTCTCCCAACTATCCTTTAGTGGTATCTGCATAACTTTTGTGTAATTAACTGGTGTATGTAGGTTATGGAGACATTTGGGGGTTAGAAGCTGCTTAGCTATTGGGGTTTTTTTCTCTCTCTCGAATACCTCTTACCACCTTACAGCTTGTTAGCCAGCTCAATAGTATACAAGTTTCCATGGCACTGTATGAATCTCACCTGACAGAAAAGCAAGGCTAATTCTTTGAAGGATAACATGTTTTGTTGTGTGTAAAAGAAGTCAATAGTGCCATTTGTCTTTATTCTAAGAGGAATATTTGCAGAACTCTCCTGGCTGTACGGTTGTCTCCTTTGCTCCTCCCTCCCCCCTCCCACCCAGCCACATACATAATTTTGAGACAGAGTAGGCATAGCTGCTTTCTCCTTAAATCTAGATCCTGTTCCTGTCTTGGGTCTGTCCATATGAACCTCTTCCCTACAGTCTCTAGTTGGGCACAGAGGTCCACGTGACTGGATCTCTATGCAGGATCAGGTCTGAAGTGAGGGAAAGGTTTCCTGTCCCCCCTTTGGAGTTTTGTGTATTATTCTTTTATATATATATATATATAGAGAGAGAGAGAGCAGGTGTCCCAGAGAGAGAGAGAGACAGAGAGAGAGAGAGAGAGAGAGAGAGAGAGAGAGAGTGTGTGTGTGTTAAACATTTTGTAAGCCACCTCATGTGTTCTAAATAGAGAGGCAGGGTAAAAATATTTTGAATGAACAAATAAATAGATAAATACATGCAAAAGAATAGCTCTAGTTTTGGGAGAGACATTAAGAAAGCATAAGATTTACGTTCTGAGCTGTAAAATATCTGGCTTCCACTAATAGTAGTAGGTTTGCAGCTGGTAAATGTCAAATATACTCCCTTTGGATTCAGTTTAGGGTTCTTGAGGAACTGTATCATCTAGTTCTGAGGCCTTTGAGATGATAAATTAGCTAGTTACTAACTAATCAGCATTCTTAACTTTTTAATAAAAGAAGTGGCCTTTCTCTTTGTTTTCCCTTTCTAAACATAATATGGCAATTGAAGAGGAGAGAATGTAGTCATCTTAAACTTGGATCGGCACACTGGAAATTATGCAACCTCTCTGGTAAAATAAGTTTTGAAAATCCAGTGAGCCTCTATTCCACTTAGCTTGGACACATTTTGGTTACTGAATTCCTCAGAATATTATAGGAGAGGGAATAAATATCCTGTCAGTTTCCTTCCTCTGTAATTCCATTTTGTCTCCTTTCAGTATTGCTGTTACTATATTTATGGAAGGAAGAGACTTCACTCAGTTGCCTTGATAAAATATCGGATGTATGTTTTCCCTGGAGCAGGTTCATTGCTGTGGCAGCAACATCAGCAAAAGACCAATCTGCACCACTTTTAATAAGCATCATCTTCTTCCCTTTCAGACATTTAAATAGCTTTTTGGCTATAGCAAATGATTATGGAATGAAAGTACAGACACTGTAGGGAAAAGTGATTAGAAAAAACATACCGGGGGAAAATGAGTGACCCATGCACTTCAACTGCAAATCTGCATTGCAGTTCGTGTTTTCTTCAAGTTTTTCAATTTCCAGCTGTCCATATTAGTGTCTTGGGAGTAAACTGAAGAGCTTGAAGAAGCCTACATGGTCTATGACTTGTAGAGACAGAAGTAAGGTCATTGTGTTGGGGCTGAGCCCCAGCTACTCTGGACTTGACAGTTCATTGCCCTAGCACCTTTTGTGCTCCCAGTCAGCAGTCACTGCTCTCCAGCTACCCAACTTTGAAGGCCATGCAGCCTATGCTTTTGGGCCACTCATCTTGAGCTCCAACACCTGCTTCATTACAAATTAAACATTGAGATCATCTCTGTTAAAAAGTAATGATCAGGGAGAAAAGCTAGGTGTTCTCTTCTCCCCATCCCCCCATAAAGGAATAAAATGGAAAGGCACCTAGAAAGGGATTAGATGATTTCAACATTTAAAGTATGAAGTGGAGCAGCTCTTTCATTCCGAGTAAAGATTAAATTTATATCACAGATTTTATTAGTCTATTTCTAAGATACCCATTTACCATAGCCTTGGTTCTTTCCTAAACCGTAATTGTTCCTCTTTATTTGGGAGAGTTCTAGTACCAAAGAATCTAGTGAATAAAAGTTCAGGAAAGTTTGCAGTGTCTGCATACATCACAGTTAAAACCAGGCAGGGCACATATTCACTTTTCTTTATTAATTAAAAAACTTAATTTTTTGAAAACATAAATGAGAATACGGTTGGGAAAATTTGGCTTTAAAATGTATAACCTACAAGAGCTCCCTGTTCATAACCTGTAGGATACAGTATACTGTTAACTGACATGGCGAGAAGAGAGGAAATAAAAAACTTTTTTTGCAAATGTTTTAAGACAGTAGCTGTTCAATTGACAATTTTTATAAGCACCAGAGTGCAAAAATATCGTTATAGCTACTGATTTAAATGTGATTTTGTTTGAAATGGCTGTAGTTCAAAAGTACTTTTCCATGTTACATGGAGCTGTGCATCGGTTGGAATTATACAACTGTATCAGGCTTTCCCCCTTAAAAATCTATTTTATTGAAGCAAAATTAGTGTAGGGATTTGAAAAAGTGTAGTTTACTCTGAATATTTCCTTGGAGGACCAGCAGATCATTGCTTTTCTCTGAAATTAGGCGGAAGGACTCAGGTGGCAGGTTTCAAGCCCATCAGGTATTTAGAATATGCCCTTCAGCTGAAAAGTAGTATTATAGTTAAACCTGTCATTATCCCTTTATCATTCTGCGGTGCACTTGACAACTGTAGCAGCCAAAGAAAGAAGCCACAAGTAGTGATGAGCAGTCAGCTTCAAGTGGAATGGGTCAGCATTTGGTTGCGTTAGTTGTCATAGGAGAATTTGACATCCATTGACAGGCTTATAGATGTTTGTTTATGGAATCTTTAAATGTATTAGGGTGGGTTCATGTGGAGGAGTTGAATTTCTTCTCATAATTTCATCTACAAACCTTACCTGGCATTAGAGATGCAAAATAAGTGACACCTGCTAAACCTCCTCCTTTGAATGTCTGAAGAATCTTCAGTAATAATACAAAGGAATGCATCTGGCCCATGCCTTACACTACACTTCTCATTTGGCTCTCATTCAGAACTGTCAGGTTAGTCTGAGTGCTGATAATTCATATTCCAGAATCCTTTTATCTGAACATATCAATATCTCCTCTGTGTACTTTGGCAGTGGAGAAACATTGCTTTTCAAATACCTTTAAAAAGCAATCCAGGCTTTTTTCCCATCTTGACAAAGTGTGGCCAGTAATGAAGAAAAAGTAAACGCATTTGTGCTGCTGTAGTCAATTTAAGTACTTTTAACCAAATCAGCTTGTAACACAGAGGTGATTACTGCTGGGTTGGTGGAGATCATTGATTGTGTGTGCGTCTCTCTGCCTAGACGTGTAAAGCAAGGCTAGTAAATTTTCTTTTGTCCTCTTTTTGCTTAATTGTGAATTTAAAATAAACCCCCTCAGAAAACCACAGGGGAAAATAGTTTTTAACTTAGTGTACATTAAGTGTCAGTGATCATAGCACTGAATAAGCAGGTGCTGCTCTGCCGATGTTAACAAAGTAGCATCCCTTTACACCAAGAGAGAATCAGACAAGGATAACTTTGAAAAGTGAATGATGTGGCCGAAGTGAAGCGGAAGTAATGACATCATCCTAGAAGGACAGCTCTGTAGCTCCGTATTATGAGTTAATTCTTCATGTTTCATTTAATTTTAGATTCCAGAGGGGTGACTACCACATTGACGTCTGCATCAATGATTATCTGGATGTGTTCTGCCCTCATTATGAGGATTCTGTGCCAGAAGATAAGACTGAACGCTACGTTCTTTATATGGTTAACTTCGATGGCTACAGCTCCTGTGATCACACCTCCAAAGGATTCAAGAGGTGGGAATGTAATCGGCCACACTCCCCGAATGGTCCATTGAAGTTCTCAGAAAAATTCCAGCTCTTCACTCCCTTCTCACTAGGATTTGAGTTTAGACCAGGCCGGGAATATTTCTACATCTGTGAGTATATTGAGATTTGTTATTGTTGCATAACAGCTGTAAGAAATCATGCTAATTTTTTCACCTGTGTTTTATGGAAATACAAAAGATCAGCCTATGTGGTAAATGTCTCTAAGTAAACATGTGGCAGATATCTTTCAGTAAATGCAGACTTCAGGATCCCTGGATTCATTTGCTGGTAATCTAGAGTAAAATTTAGATTAAAAGCGTAGCTTCTTTTCCCCACATGAAACAGCATGTCAGCCTGTTCGGTGAACCTTTGCTGACTTTTCACGCTAAAGATACTAATGTACTTTTTCAAACACTAGAAATATGTCCGGAAAAAATAATTATACATAACTCAAATGTTCTTATTTGTGTGACTGAAATACCCTGGCCCTCATCAGCAAGGAAATTCTATGTACAGGCAGTTCCCGGGTTACGTACAAGATAGGGACTGTAGGTTTGATCTTAAGTTGAATTTGTATGTAAGTCAGGACTCTCTGCCCGGGCCTTCCTGGAGTCAGCCGCTGGTCAGTTTCAGGAGCAACTGACTTGGGGACGCCCGGGGCAGAGCAGCTGGGGCGCTGTCGGGTTGGTCCCGGCAGCGCTGCACCTCAGCGCTGCACCTTCCTATTATTCTAGGAAGCCCAGGGCAGAGCAACTCTGCCTCGGGCTTCCTGTAGTCAGCCACTGGTCAGTTTCAGCAGCGGCTGACTTGGGGACGCCTGGGGCAGAACAGCTGGGGTGCTGCCGGGTTGGTCCCGTAGCGCCAAGGAGCGGCGCTGCGGGACCAACCCGGCAGCACCCGAGCTGCTCTACCCCAGGCGTCTTCGGCGAGAAAAGTTTGGTCTGCTGGGGGGAGGGGGCGCACTAGCTGCGCCTCCCCCCCCCCCCAGCAGACCAGGGAGATGGGGAGCAAAGCCTCGGAGGATCCGCGTAACTCGGGGACTGCCTGTACTCTGAAGATGTGGTTGCTGCACATGCCAACAGTCCAACAGTGTTTGAAGTAACAATGTCTTAGGGTGCACTACTTGCCACAGGGGAAAGCCAAAAAGAGCTTTATTCAGAGTAACTCTTTCATTAAGTGTGGGGGTTGTGGAATGCAGTAAAAGTAGATTCCAAACAAGTTAGCATGAATGAGCTCTCATACCTGGCATCAGTAAGTGATTGTGAACACTGCGTACTACAAGCTATGTTCCAAGGAGACTTGAATCAATACTGCTTTAGCCACAAGAGATGAGGAAGGGGAAAACGTAGTGAAGAGACAGGATAACTGTCAGGGATAAAGGAATGAAAATTTCAGCAGGCTAAAACTGGACGGTTGAGCTAACTGGGATGTCATGATCTCATAACCAGTCTGGATAGCTGTCACTCTGTCAGTTACTTTGTTTGACTAATATCCAACTAAAATCTCATTTCATCAATTCGTTATGTACTTGAAGTCTGCCATTTCCTAACAAGCTTCCAGTATTACCACTACAGTGTTATCCTATGTGTTCCATATCAGATGAGGGAGTTAAGAGCTTTAAACAGGCTGTTCCCAATAAATATTGCCTTCATGCCTGTAGATGGCCTTTCTACTGTGAAACAGTCATTCCACCTCATTTCACCAGAGAAACTGAATACATAACATTTTTATTTTTCAGCCTCATTTCTTCAGCATTGAGATTTTTTTCTTTCTAAACCTACAGGGAAATGTATTCATATTGAATTGTTCTCAACTTCCTTTGCTCCCCATCAAATAAAGTTTTATAATAAGAGGGATTGCAGCATCACAAGAATACTACCTTTTTTCTCTCTCATATGCTGGACTGTAATAAAAAAGTTGAACTGTAACTTTTTTATTATTATTATTATTATTTCAGTACTGTTTTATTATTCTGCATTATTATTACAGTACTGTTTCCTTGAGATAGTCATGAGGAAACATGTAAAAACCTGATGCCATTTCACATCCTATAAGTAAATAAAAAAGAGAATCATAGCTATGTGACCAATGTTATAGAATAAATGATATACGTTGTTTGGGTCACTTTACTCATGAAAACTGCCCATTAACTTTAGAAGGAGTTTTCTCTTACTATACATTACAAAAGCACGCCAGAGTAAGCATCAGCTTTGTCCTTTGGATGAATTTTTTCCTTCTTAAAAATCCTGCTGGGAGAACCTGCAGGGAGATACAAGATGAGGAATGAATTGTAATTTGCATCCATGTGATTGCTTTGCAATAAAATGCTGTACAAGTACTATACCACACGAATTGTTCAAACCTCTGTATTTGCTTTTTAGATTAAAAACAGTAATAAAAGTGAAAAGCCAAGCAAGAATGTAGAGAAATCTCTACTTGTCTAACTAGCTAATAGCCTGGTTATCAGAAAATACAAAATCCACTGAGCTTCCTAAGCAAGACCTTATTATTCAAATGCACCCGTGGTGCTTATGACTGGTTTACCTCATTTGTGGTTAAATTCAATATTTCAATAAAAATAATTGTGTCTTCTATAACATTCATTTAACAGAGTCATTTAACTGTCAAGGGTTCCCATCAAAGTAATTATTCCAAAGAGCTTTAAAATATCAAGAGTTCTATGCTGTTCAACTGAGTTTAGCTAGAATTACTGTTTTTAATGAAAGGTAATACAGCTCAAAATTAGCAGCTAAGAGTTGTCCATTTACCAGTAGATTATTGGCCTGACATTGATTGAAATTAGATTTTTCTGCCATGTTTCACAGACACGGAAGTATTCTCTTTCCTTTTCACACAGTTGGAGTATTACTTCCTCTTCATTCTTTCACTTACTATGGGCAGTAGCACAGAGTAGTTAATACAGTGAACCCAGTTATATACTGCGGTGGTAACAATTAAACATGATAATTCTCAAGGGACTGTTGTCTGCCATGCTATTTTTTTTTTCAATTGAATATGCTCTGAATGAACAAGATGGTGAACAATTCCTTGTTCCTTCCTTGAAGTTATCAGCATGGCCTGCAATGCAGGCCTCAGAAAAAAAGCATTGCTGCCTTACTGTCTGAATAGTTAATATGCTCATTGCCCAGCAGGAGGATTTTTCATCTACTCATCAGATCCAAAAAACCTGACCTTTATAAACATGCTGTTGAAGGACGGAAGGCTAGTATTTTTCAGCTTGGTGTATTCTGGGAAACTGGTTTCAAATTGTCCAGTGACTGGTTAGCCTGGAAAGTTAGGGGGAATTGAATTGTTGCCTGGGATAGTGTGATGTTAGGATAAATGTCACTATCTCTGGTGTTTATTTACAAAGATTTTTTTAAAGAAGAGCCATTATTTATCTTCCTGCTCTATGTTTTAAGGACAATTTTTGTCCCCCTTGCTTCTACCAGTTTCGGGAAATGTAATAACCTTCTTAAACCAATCATTTGCTTTATATTTTCTTTCTTGAATGATCTTTTCTATGAAATTTCACATCCTTTTATTGCTCCATGTCCTCATTAGCATTTGGAACCCTAAATGTATCACTGAAATGGATCAGATCCATTGCTCTTTATTTCCCTTTAGCTATAAAAGTTAGACTATTATATATTTTGTATTAGATTATTTCTATTTCCATTTGAGAGATGAATTCAATAATAGGACTTGCATATCAGCAAAATACTTATTAAGCAGGTTTACTTTTGGAATGGGAAAAAGCATATTAACTATATTAGAGGGAGTTTAGCTCCAAAAACTTAATTGCTTATGGTAACCTTTATTAAAGTAATTCAGTGCAACAAATAATGGATCAAATTATGATGATCAGTCAATATTCTAGCTACCATCAGTTGAGGGTAGAGTTGTAAGTCTGACTAAAAAACAAATCAAGAACTTGGGATTTGGACCTGTATTATGATTGTTACTATGAAAGCAAAAGTAAACAGAATAAGATAGAACATACCCAAAGAGTGAGAATGTTTCCAGAGATCCTGAATACTTCATAGAGTTTGTATGTTTAGCATATCAGTTGGGGGGAAACAATATAAGGAAGAGGGAAGTTTCAGATTGACCATAACATTTGAGGTTTGTATGGTTCAGAATACAGGTTTGTCTTGAATGGATTTCAGGATTTTTATCGATGATGTGGAGGTAACTATAAAATCACTGTTGATAAAATGTATAGAGGACACAAAGATGGGTCTAGTGGCAAATAATCAGAAGGTCAGGAAGTCATAAGGAATAATGCGGATTGGTCAGTAAAGAGAACACATTCAAGTGTAATAATGCGTTTCAACACAACATATGGAGATTTTACATCTAGGCCACATGGTATGGAATGGGGGACAGTGATGCTGAAGCAATGACTCTGATCCAGACAAACACCAGACCACACTTTTCAGGGGATCTTGTGGCAAGAATTTCAAATGTGATCCTTGGATATAGAAATGGGGAAGTAATGAGTAGGTGTAAGGGAGGTCATTTTACCTCTTTAAATAGCATTGGTGAAACCTGTACTGGACCACTGCATCTAGTTCTGCTATCTTCATATTTTAAAAAGATACTGAAAAATTGGAGAAGGTGTAAGAAAGAGTCCCAGAAATGATATTGAGGTTGAATGAGGAGCTCAGTTAGTAGACTGGAAAGTGATTAGATTACAACATATAAGTACTGCTCTGTGAAGAAAATACTAGATACTAAAAGGGTTTTTAACTAGAAGAGGAAGACATAACTGAAGGCTGGATTTTAAAGCCAGACAAATTCAAAATAGAAATAAGGCATACATATTAACAATAAAGTTGATTACTCATTAGAACATATTACTCTTGGAAGTGGTGGATTCTCCATCTTTTGAAGCCTTCAGCTCAGTACTAGATGACTTTCTATAAGATTTGCTTTTAATCAGACAGAATTTACTGGACTTACTATGTGGTAATTGTTAAGAACATATTGGGTCAGACCAAAGGTCCATCTATCCCAGGGATGGGCAAACATTTTTGCCCAGGGGCCACTTCAAAAATTTTTGAAGTAGCCCCGGGCCACCCTGGAAGGGGCAGGACCTATACAGGAA